TCCTCCCTTCTTTCCATGTCTCAGCTGCTCTTTTCATATCTCAGAAATCACTGGGTTTATACTCGGAAAGGGATCAGTACAGGAGACCCTGGATAGAGTGGGAGAACAATGTGCAACAAAACTCAAAATCATTTAAAAAAAAAAAAAAAAAAGACCAGGTTTGCTGGTCTGATAGAGCCTGGTGAGACCCCCAAGACTCTGGCCCCTATTACCCTTCAGGTCTAGAACCAAACTCATACCTGTGACTTCCAGCCAAACAATAGACAAGCATATGGGCTGAACATTTACACCAGGTAGACACTGCTTGGAGCTATCAATCATGGGAGAACAGAAGGGCATCATTTGCCCAGGGAGACAGATGGGAGGAGGGAGGGGCAGGAATGCATAGGAAAGAAGGGCACAGGGAAACGGTAACTACCGGGAGGGAGTGGGAAGAGAGCTGTTCCATTGTGGGGACTGCAGTCCATGTCATGAGACAAAATGTGTATGAACTGCTGTGTGGAAAATGAATTTGCTTTGTAAACTTTCACCCAAATCACATTAAAAAAAGTTTTAAAAATCACTAGGTTTAGAACACATGGTACACTGATGTGGTCTCATAAACAGGACAAGGTAAACCCTATTCCTATTTAGACTCACAGCACCCTGTGTGACAGAGTAGAACTGCCCCACAGGGTTTCCAAGGCCTCCGTCTACATGAGTAGATCACCAGGTCTTTCTTCTGCCGAGTGTCTGGTGGATTCAAACCACCAACCCTTTGGTTAGCAGCCAAGTACTTAGACACTGTGCCACCCGGGCTCCTTACATGCACAGGTGGAAGGATTAGGCTGCCAACCAATGTTTTGGAGAAACGCAATTCAATTCATAACACCTTCCCTTCTTGCAAAGGCCTTGGAGTCAGACCTTGGGTTCTCGCCCCACCCCATCAGGGAGCAGGGGCTGAGTCTGGCGTTGAGCGGGGCGGCAGGTTTGAACGTAGATGTCCGGGGTATTCTGGAATGGGGTCGTGGGTGCTTCCTTCCCGTGAGCCTTCTCTTGGACCTTGGGGAACCACACTAAGTGCTGTGGGGTTTCAGGCATCTGCCCACTCTCTCCTCCAGCGTGAAGTTCATCAACAAGATCCAGTACGTGCACAGCTTGGAGGACCTGGAGCAGCTGATCCCCATGGAGCATGTGCAGATCCCAGACTGCGTCCTACAGTGAGTACCCTGGGCCCAGGCCCAGCTGCCCTGCTCTCAGTCCTCCCTCTGCTCCTCCATCCCGCCCTTCCCGGTCCCACCGGCTTGGCTCAGCACGGCCGCCAGGAACCGGAAGTGAGAGGAAGGGCAGATGGAACAGAGCGACCGAAGCCACTTAACTCCCTGGAGACCCCCCGCGCCACCAATACTGGTAGACGAGCATTTCCTCTGCGTGCCCTCTCTGCTGCCACTAAGCATGACGTCTTCCACATGTCCTCATTTCTTCGTGCATGGCAAAGCTTCATTTCCTTTGTATTGGGGTGAAAATGTTGACGCTCACCGTAATTTAAAAAAAAAAAACATTTAGCAGGAAAAAAAAGCATGCATATTTTTTACATATACATATTTATATGCTTTAAATAATATATACTTAATGTCACTGAATTATACATGTAAAAAATGTTGAAATGGCAAATTTGTCTTTATATGCATATGCATGTGGTTGTCGCTGGTGCCGTCAGCTGATTCTGACCCACAGCACCCCCGTGTGGCAGAGCAGAACCGCCCCACGGGGTTCCTAGGCTGTCAGCCTTACAGGAGCCAACTGCAGCCAGGTTTGCCCTGCCACAGAGCCACCGGGTGGGTTCAAACCATCAGCCTTTCAGTCAGTTAGCAACCAAGCAATTATAGGAGCAACCAGGGCTCCTATAATTATATGTATATGTACTATGAGTCACAGTCAACTTGACAGCAATGGTTTTATCTATAAAAAACATTTATATATATATGAAAACCACTGCCGTCAAGTTGGTTCTGAGTCACAGCATATGGTTATATAAAACCAAAAAAAAGAAAAGCCAAACCCATTGCCATCGAGTCAGTTCTGACTTACAGCAACCCCTTTTGGGTTTCCGATGTGGTAAATCTTTACAGAAGTAGATTGCCCAGTCTTCCTTCCAAGGAGTGGCTAGCAGGTTTGAACCGCCAGCCTTCTGGTTGGCAGTCAAATGCCTTAGGCACTACCCTACCAGAGCTCCTTATATATATAGTACAGTAAAACCTACAAAAGTGGGAACCTGTGTAAGGCGGAAACCTGTCAGAGAAGGAAAACACAACTATTTCCCGCTAAAAGGGGAGACAGGAAAGGAGTTTGGAGCATTCCTCATCCACAAAGAGAACTGAAGCCCTCCTACGTGCTGCAATATGGACACACCCTGCCAAAGGCAGAAAATCTGTGAGGCCCGTTACAGAAAGGCAGTGCCACTGAGTTCTGGCTCCCACAGATTCCACCTGAGACTATGAGATATGTATGTGATGAGACCTTTGCCGTTTCAACATGTTTTACGTGGCCTGTTCGCTGACGTGAGTTACGTTCCTTGTGCCAGGCAACTATCACCACTGGGGGTTCCACATTTTCCCTTCCCCCTTCACAGAAGCTCCTTGTCCCTTAAATAATGACCCTCCAGCCCCTGGTCACCATGGATCAACTTCAGTCTCTATCCATTTGCCTGTTTGAGGTATTTCCTGTAAGTGGGATCAGACAGTATGTGTCCTTTGGTGACTGCCTGTTCCACTCAGCATAACGTTCTCAAGGTTCATCCGTCTCACAGCACCTACCAGGACTTCATTTCTCTTTATGACTGAGTAACACTCCATTGTGGGTGTGGACCACACGGCGTTTATCCATCATCTGTTGGTGAACACGTGGCTTCTCTCCACCTTTTGGCTGTTGTGAACAGTGCTGCAGGGAACGCTGGTGTCCACGTGTCTGTCTGAGTCCCTGCTTTCAACGCTCTTGAGAGTGGAATTGTTGGGTCATACAGTAGTTCTAAAGAGCTCTGGCAACTCAGCTGCTAACCAGATTGGCAGTTCAAACCCATCAGCCGCTCCGTGAGAGAAAAAACTTGCGATCTGCTTCTGTAAAGATGCAGCCTAAGAAACGCTCTGGGGCAGTTGTATTCTGTCGCACGGGGTTGCTATGAGTTGTAATCAACTCAACAGCAGCACACAACAACAACAACAGGGGTAACTTTTTGAGGAACCGCCAAAATGTTGTCCACAGTGGCTACATCATTTTATAGTCCCGCCAGCAGTGGATGAGAGTTCAGTTTCTCCACATCCTCGCCAACCTCTGCTGTTTTTCATTTCAGGCATCATTTTTCATAATATTGCACTATATGGCAGGTGCAAGTCTAGTGAGGCCAGCTCTGTGCTTTTCCAGCCCCCAGTGAAACAGAGCCAGCAAGCTGTATTAGTTTCTTACAGCTGCTGTAACAAAATGCCATGTTCCGCGTGGCCTTCAGCAACAAATATATTGTCTCAGAGTTCTAGAGCCTGAGAGTCCAAAATCAGGGCATCAGGAGGGCTGTGCTCCTAGAGCAGGATCTTTCCTTGTCTCTCCCAGCTTCTGGTGGCCCCAGATGTTCCTTGGCTTATAGATGCATTGTCCCACAGCCTTCTTTCCTCTGTGTCTGTGTCTGTCTCTTCTCCCTTTTAAAAAGACACAATTCATCTAGGATTAAGACCCACTGTACTCCAGTATGACCTCATGTTGGCTGATAACATCTTCAAAGATCCTATTTCCAAGCATTATCACGTTCACAGGTATACGGGTTGGGACTTCAGCCTATCTTTTTGGGGGGCACGATCCAATCCATAACCCAAGCACACTTCTAAGGTCAAAGAGCACAGCAGCCCAGCATATTTAGTACAAGTCAGGAGTCAACAAATCCAACCCGGTCCCCTACTTATGTTTGTAAATAAAGTTTTATTGGCACATAGCCACATCCATTTGTTTACATCCCATCTCTGACTGCTTTCCATACATTAACAGAGTTAAGTTGTGACAAAGACTCTGTGGCCCACAAAGCCAAAAGTATTTACTATTTGGCCCTGGCCAGAAAGAGTGTGCTGACGCCATTGTGGAGGTGTGTAGACTGCCCTCGTCAGTGAGGACACTCCTGTGTAATGGCACCATTCAATCACTGACGCTGAATGAGGCAAAAACGTCTGCCAGGTAATGACCACACCAGACGCTGGAGTAGCCAGTTGTCGTGGAGCTGACCCTACGTGTGTCCGACTGGAACTTCACTCCATGGAGCTTTCAGTGGTTGGCATTTTGGAAGCAGATTGCCAGGCCTTTCTTCCAAGGCACCCCTGGGTAGACTCGAGCCTCTAACTTCTTGCTTAGCATCTGAGCACATTAACAAAATCTGTACTCCCTGCCCTACCTGCAGAACTTATTTTTCCCTTAAAAATAATTTTTTTTTAATTTTGGTTAAAAAAAGAGAGAGAGACAGACACAGCAAAGCACACACAGTTCAGTTTCTGCGCCTAGAATCCATAACACTGATTATGTTCTTCACAGGGAGTCACCATTCTCACCATCTCTACTCATACTGTTTGTTTCACCACCACAGGCTTGGACTCGCTGCCCCTGAACTTCTCATCTGTGCTTTAGGGCTGTGGTTGACAATCTCATCTGTACAGATGGGTCTTTAACAGGCCACAATGCTTGTGGCACCCATTCTTTACTAAGTTAGCGAAACAGTTCAGTTGAAAGATCATTTCAGTTCATGGTCTAAAGATTTTCTCAGAGCAGTAGATTCAGGGATTCCTCTAGTCTCAATAGGTCCAGTAAGTCTGGATTCTGCAAGCATTTGGAATTCTGTTCCACAAATGTTCCCCTTTTGATCAGGATTCATCTATTGAGTCCTTGATCAAAATGTTCACTAATGGTAGCCGGGCACCATCTAATTCTTCTGGTCTCATGGCAAAGGAGGCCTGGGGGAGCTTTTGAAGTAGACGCAGGAAACTGACCACTGGAGCTATACCTGCTGCTTGGGTGTGATGCCTCGCTCCCAAAGGGAAGGGAAACACACACACACACAGTGCTTCTGTGGGGAAGAGAGGGCCACGTCTGAGCTGTGTCTGTGTTCTTTTTGTTCTTCCAGGTACGAAGAGGAGAGAGTCAAGGCCAGGAGGGAAAGGTAGGCTCAGAGCTGCCTCTATTGGGGCCGAGGCAGGTGGAGGTCAGGGCTAGCGGCTGAGCTGGGTGCCGCCTTGGTGCTGACTGGTGTTTCATAGGTACATGGGGGTGGGGCGGGCATGATAAGTACACATTTGTGGCTCCGATGCTCAGCTGAGATCAATGCTTGGAAGCAATGGCCAAGAGTCTTTCTTCCTCCCTGTCCCTCCTCTTCCTTACGCCCACCTCTTCGCAGCCAGCTGCCCTTCATTTAAGCCCTGAGCAGAGGTCTGGCCCCCACCTCCACCCTCCTGGGTAAGCACCCCAGGGTGCTCCTGGAGAGGTGGCAGCAGACCCAGGCCCACCTTGCTCTTAAGCCACAGTCAGGCCGGAGCCCATGGGCCCCTGGCCGCTCAGCACCTTGCTCACTCTCTCCCCAGTGGGCGACCCCAGCCGGACTTTGTCCTGCCGAGGTCTGAAGAGAAGCCCGAGGCGGCAGCAGCAGTGATAGCAGCAGCAGAGAGCAGGTAACCTTGCAGGTGACAGCTGACCCCCACTCAGGCTGTGGAGCCCCCAGAGGAGGGCTGGAGGAACACTGGGCCCTCCCTGAGGGTGGACAAGGGACCTGGGGGGATGACACAAACCAGTTTCCACCATCAGAGAAGACATCAGAAATTAAAGCAGATTTTAAGGAGCCGTGGTGGCACAACGGTTAAGTGCTTGCTGCTAACCAAAAGGTCAGTGGTTCAAACCAACCCAGTGGCTCCAGAAGAGAAAGACCTGGCTATCTGTTCCTTTTAAGATTACAGCCTTGAAACTCCTATGGGGCAGTGCTACCTTATCCCATGGGGTCACTGTGAGTCGAAATTGATTTGATGGAACACAGCACCAACATGGCAGATTTGGGATTCATAATAGTTCATTTGAGCAGGATGAATGATTCATGAATCAGTCAGCATTCACCAAGAGGGGGGAAAAGAAGTCAACACTTTCTGTACCAAGAGCAAGGAAGCTAAAGATTTAATTAAGGTTTGCTGTTAGAGGTACCATCGAGTTGATTCTGTCTCATAGTGACCCCATGTGACAGAGTTTCCAAAGCTGCCAATCTTTACGGAAGCAAAGCCCAAACCAAACCTGCTGGGATGGTATAGAGTCTATTCCAATTCACAGCGCTCCTAGGGGACAGAGTGGAACAGCCCCACAGGATTTCCAAGACTGTAAATCTTCATGGAAGCAAAGCCCAAAGCAAATCCA